AAAATGTTTTAATGCTTTCAGCCTAACTTTTCGTAATGATTTACAGAGCATGCTTCCCTGCTAAGACTATTTAGAGAGTCAGCTCCTTTGGGGATTTAGGATGCAGTGATTCTATCTCCTAAAATTATTCTTTCTAGTATTGAATTTCTCCTTGTGAGCACACGTTTAGGAATGAGACAGCCTTGCAAGGGGAGCTCAGAATATTGTTCCAGCAGCTCAGAGTGCACTGGAAATGTGAACTCCTGTGAACTGCTGCTTGATTTGACACAGAAAGACAGATCTGGAGTCCTGACACGGACAAGTGTTCTTGAATACAAATTTGAGTTATTTAAGGTTTTGTTTCCAATCACCAGAGCTGTCATCAGTCACGTTTGTCGATCCACTCTCCCTTTCAAATTCACCATGACCTCCTCGTGGCCTTATTTCACTTAACCTTGCTGTGTTTACAGTGACCTCCATCCCCATGACTTGGTTGTACTCTGAGGGCCAGGCTGACACACCAGCATGCAGCTCTCACTCACAAAGACACTCCATGAGAAATGTAAGGGCAGCTTTATCTCTCTGTCTGTCCCTAAAAGCAAAAATTAAGTTCCCAATCCCTGGCAGAATCCACCCCGTTTTCCATCCTTGAAGGTCTGGTCAGAGCTCATACATGAATCCCATTTCCATTACTTTGCTCTTGAGTGATTTTATTTTGCTGGTGTACACAGCTGCAGCGTCCTTTTGATCCTTTGCTTTACCCTCAACCAATTCTTTTCATTCAGATATATTGAAATACTCGATAAATACAACTGAAATTACAGATCAAACAAGCCTTCTGTAAGGTAGGAAAGACAATGACATTATCCTCTCTGTTCCCCTGGCCACATCTGCTGAACGATGGTGGCAGTGGGAGACAGGAGAGCAACAGCCTAAAGTTTCCTTTGATAAGCAAAAAATATTATAAATACAACTTGTCCCAGCTATGGTGTAGTTCCAAAATATATTAATTACAGCTTAGTAGCTTTTCTGCCATGTTTCAAGCAAATTCTTTCAGGCTGTCTGCACTGAGTCATTTTTTGGAAATAAACTTTTTGGATCTAACATTAAATGAGAAATTATTTCAGATTTGGTAATACAGACTGGGTTTTCAACTTCCTCCTTAAACAGGCATCTGGAACAAAAATGTGTCTAGAAAATTTTGGCCAGCCTTTTGAGTCTGCCTGGGCTCAGGCTGCTCCCAAAGCTGAAAACCTCACTGAGAAACAAGGGCTGGATTCCTCATGGGCTGCCCTTCCCCCAGTGCCAAGAAATAACCACGTATGTCTGAGGCTACATAAACTAATTAGACATCTAATCCTACCTTTGTCTGCACCTGGTATTGCCAAGAAAGATGAGAAGGAACAGCAAGTACGGGAGGTACAGAGGGAAAGAGAACATAAAAAAAAAACCCAAAAAAACCCGAGGGCCAATACACTGCTTGAGACATTAATCCTACACATGGTGTAAGCACACCTCTCACACCAGTCTGACCCTGAAACAGCACACAGAGCTTCCACAGGAGGGGAGAAATCCTCCTAAAAGGAAGGTACTGCCCATTCATTGACTGCATTTAAAAAAAAAAAGCTCACATGCAGGTTGATAAAGAAGCAATTACCAGTTAATTACCGTATCAAGTTCACAGCACAAACAGCAAGCAGGGGAGTTGTGCCCAGCACAGCCAGAGGGTCACACAGGGGATGCTCTCACTGAAACACAAGACACAAAGGTTGTACCAGCACACAGCCCCTGCCCAGAGCATTTCTCCCCAGGCTCAGGCATTGCTACCATGCAATTCTGCAGCACTGCTGGCTTTCCTAAAGCAACTTCACATCATGGCTTCGGTGAGCACCACAGCACCTGGCCAGACAAGAGCCAGCAGACTGAGACGGAAAAGAGTTCGTTAATTTCTGTAGTATATGCTGAATTTCCAATTCGAGATGCAGAAGATGCATTGCCTGCTTGTAGAGATAATTAACACAGATCACAATAAATGTGCATTCAGAATGAGGGACAGACGAGTGACAGACACTGTGAAAAGAAATACTGAGGTGTCAGGAAGTTAGGTTAAAAACGAGAAGAACTATTTTCTCAAATCACCTTGTTTGCCTTGTGGTATAAATAGTTTCAGGATTCACACTGCCAAGCCTTTCTCCCAGTCATGAGAGCACAAGGCTCGCTTTTGAAAAAAGAGGAAAGGTGGAGACCAGTGGATGAGAGTTGATTTTGGCAAGTCGGGCCTTGAGAAGAGGCATTAACTGTTAGAGGGGTTGTGACTCTAAAGGGATGAGCAAAGAGACTGTGCTAGGCAAACAGGGTGTAATTGACCCACAGTGATGACAGGCTTCGGTATTTTCTCACAGACAATAACTGGCTGAAGAAAAGAAGATGCCTTAGGCCTCTAACCAAATTGGTCACCTTACAGCTATGAAATGCCCCACCTAGCACTAATTATGACTATTATAACAGTAACAATTAAATCAAAGTAACTGCTGCTGTTCTTTGACAGCTGCCTTGCCAAGGCGAGTATTTTGTTTGATTATGAAGCAAAGAAAGGGACTTAACTTAAAATTGCCCTTTGTTTTGGAAAGGCTTTGTTATTATCTGAGTAAAACTCAAGTTTTGACAAGTTGTGAATATAACCCTGTGTTTCCAGTTTCCCAATTTCCAGTGTTTATACCTCACGCAGTGTTTGTGCATCTGTGATGAAGGTTAAAACACAGATTTATTCTTCTATTTTATGTGATATCCCCAGTTAGACTATGGCTGTGACTGCCCCTGCTGTTGTCTTTTCTGCCTTGTACCATTTTCACTTGTTGTTTACATAGGCTTGGATATAGCCAAAATCAGACATCAGCAGGTGGGCTCAAAAAATCAGGTGAGTCTTCTTTATCCAGTTCTATTTTTGAAACAACAAAACCAGGTTTGATGCTGTGCCACGATGCTGGGTGAGATAAGGAAGCATCACCATGGGCCATCTGTTCAAAGCACAGCCAGAGAGAGCATTCACCTTCACCCAGCCCCAGGCTCTGCAAACTGCCTGCCAGCAGTCAGGGAAGCCCTGAATCTGGGCTAATTGAAGGGTTCTGCAGCCAGCCAGCTTCATATTTAATAGGGATTTACTGCTGATGGAAATTACAAGTGAATTACAGATTGCAGCACATCATGGTCTCGCCAGAGACAAACAAAAGCATGTGGTGGTGAGAACAGAGTGCTGCACGCTGGGACCCGAGGTCTCCATGGACCTCATTGCTTTGTTAAAGCATTGCTGGGAAGCTGTGAGGTGCTACAGAGCTGCACATCTTTCCTAGAGACCGTGATTTCCTCACTTGTGTTTATAATGCTGTTACAATTTCCAGCTCTTCTGTTTGTTTTTACACAAGTGTAGGAGGGTTTCTTTCTCTTCAAATCAAATCACAGGGCCTCACCATTTCGAGCTCAAAGTCTCCCTAATGCTGCTAATCTCCTATTAACAGCCTACTGACACAGAAGAGACAACAGAAAAAGACTGGTTGCCAGTGCTCTGGCCCTGTGACCGTGTGCTGGTCAGATCTGGATTAACACTTGAGGCGATTTACCTTAGGAAGCCTTGTCACAGGTGCCTGCAACTCTAAACTCACCTCGAACTGCCTGGCAGGAGAGGGAGGAGGGGAGCCAGTAAGTCCACAGGTGATGCACACACAAACCAGGCCCTGCTGAAACTCATTTTTCTTCTCCTATACAAAATCAGGATGACTGCAGGGAAAAAAAAACTCCTTGACTTCATATGAAAGGCAATGGGCTGGGCACGGATATCTCATCCGGGACGCAAAACCCACTACCTGTCACTGACAGCAAGTTTGTTTAACTTCAGCTTTTCTGGTTACTAAAAATTGTGATCCAGGAGCACAGGCAAACACGCTGCTTTTCTCCAGAGCTTGTGTAGCAGGATAAATTGGTTCAAGTACAAGAGGGACCCTTCCAGCTTTAAGACAATTTAAGCTGCTCCCATTCAAGGAAAGATGGAAAAACAGCATCATTCCTATTTGGCAACAAGTATCCATGTGACAGTTGGGTTCATCAGCCCGAGCAGCCTCAGGCTCCCCTCCCGGGCTGCACCTCCTACATTTGCAGTGCCGGCTGTGCTGCTCCATGACCCTACATAGCAGGAGGAGGGTTTTGGGATGACCAACTGCACTTGACGTCAGCCAGCAGCAGAGTGAGCATCCACACACAGCATCTGAGCTGCACCAGGAGCCTGCCTGGCTGCCAGGGAGAGAACAGAGGCAGGAGCTGCTGCTGCTGCCTCTGACCAGGTCAGCAGCCAAAGCTTCACGTGTGCCCGACAATGCAGCTCGAGCATCTCTTCATCTCCACGAAGATGATTATGTTTCAGGATGATTTCATTCTGCTTGTTAACAAATTGCTGGTAAAATAGGTAATTGTTCCTGGCCTGAAGTTAAACAATCCTATTACTGAGTGTTATTTGCAGGTCAGAGAGCTGCAGGAGGTTTGGCCTTCAAGGCACCACACTGTCCCCTCTAGGAAGAGGGGTGAACTACAAAAACATTCTACCATGCCTAACAGAACAGAGAAATTAATTTAATCTGTAATTATTGTTACTGCAAGGCTGCTTGTTCACCTTGGCTTCTTACACAACCACACACAGCAAGTGATACCGAGGTGCTGTTCAGAGCAGCTCCTGCCTCTCTCCCTGACCCTTCCCAGCCCCGAACACAATGTTGCAGCTCTCTGTCTTTCCATAGGTCTTTATTCATCCTCAGGGAAGCAGGTTCTGACTCAGTCCGCAGCGCAGCTGCTCCTGCTGCTCACTGCCCCACCTGGAACAACAGCCCCGCTCCAAAAGCCGCCTCCGTGACCACGACACCCACTGCAAACATCACCAGAGCGATGCTGGGCTGCCCTTCTAAGGGACAGAACACTGCTGGCTGCTGCCCGTGAAAGAAATCCTCCAACAGCATCTTTGCAGGACGCAAACTCACCTTGTTTTTGTGCTGTCTCACTCCTATTCTGAGTGTCAGTGAGGAGCATCCAGCCAGTGTGAGCCTTTTTCGAACTTGATTCCTTATCCATATTTGGGAATTTGTGCTGGGCACTGGCTGGTACGAGGCACGTTCTTCCCACAGTGCACTTTGGGACTTGTAGTTCCCCAAAAGGAATGTTGTTTTCTAAATTGTAAGCGCTGAGCAACAGAAACAGAAGTCGGAAACGCCTTTACCTCTGCCTTTGCTTGCTGCTGGGCCCTTCCTTTCACTTGTGTCTGTGCAGTGGTTTCACCTTAGCCAACCCGAATCCTTCAGGAACCTCTTCCACAGTCAAGGTCCGTGTGCCAACCCCTTGGATGCACCACTGTGTAAAAGCTGCTACTGCAGAGTGTTTCTGCTGCTCCGAGAGGGGCAGGTACATGGTCCTGCCTCCTGGAAAAAGAGACCTCTGATCAGTTTTTTAATCATATTCGCCACTCTGAAATGGCATAGAAAATCCCCTTTAAAATATATGTTTCACTCTTCAGCATGTTTTGTATTAGCCTATTTGATATTTAATTAAATAATTACAGTAGGGAGACAGATAAATGTGTCAATTGTTTCAAAAGATTACAAGATAAATCAATCCCGTCTCTCCTGTAGAGATCCATCTTTGAGTAGCGTTTGCAATGACTGCTGTAATTACCTTGTAACCAAGACACCCTGTTGTTTTTAAATAACAACCGCAGGAGAAGGCGAATCGCTGCCTGCCGGGTACTGCTGGAGATGCCGTCATTACTCCCGAACTGCATTAACAGCGTAATGTGCTTCAAACTGGGGAACGGGGTGCCCGGGGAGAGGTGCCCGGAGGAAGGATGAAGGAGAAATGATGGGAGCAGAGAGCATCGAGCGGGTCAGGAGGGCTGGGACACTCTCGGGGCTGGGATGGGACACTGGGAGCTGGGCTAGGACACTCTCGGGGTTCGGCTGGGACATGTGTAGGATACACACTGAGAGAGTAAGAAAATGACAGCCTGAAAAATATTCCAGGCTGGAGCTTTTCAGCTCTGTTCCCAGCCGATAAGCTGGTCCAGCTCAAGGCCAGGGAGAATTTCTCCTAGGATGATAATTAGGTAAAAATAAAAAGGAATTAGTAACAAAGATAGAACACCTGTTGTGGTGTGTGCCCAGGCCCTGCAAATAGGGTGTCTTCTCTCTGAACCAATCACCTTTTCTCTACTCTTGGAATTGCGAGTCATCCTATAAAACCAAGTGTGTTTCTGAATAAACTTGGCTCTTTCTTGCTGTCACGAAAAACAACTATGTAGCTGTGCATTTTATTTCCGCCGCACTTAAAGGGTTAAAACCTCTTTCCACGGCTACAGACATGCTCGGGGTTCGGGTGGGACATTCTCGGGGCTGGGATGGGACACTCTGGATTTTCGGCTGGGACACTCTCGGGGCTGGGCTGACTCCCGGTGGCCGAAGGGAGAACAGCCGAGGTGGCCCGGCCCCTTTCCCTCGGTAGCCACAAGAGGAGGAAGATGAAGGAAGAGCGTTTTGGTAGGGACGGGCACCGATCTGTGTCCCTCTTGAGACCCGGCTTTCCACCGCTGATCCCCGCAGAGTCACAGCGGGGATCAGGCTGGAAGGGACCGCAGTGGTCATCTGGTCCCAGCTCCCTACTGGGCAGGGTCATTGCAGAACACACAACACAGGATTGTATCCAAGCGATTCTAGAATATCTCCATAAAGGGAGACTCCACACCTTCTCTGGGAAATCTGTTTCAGTGCATGGTCACCGCACAGGAAAGAAGTTCTTCCCCCTGTCCAGGTGGAACTTTTTGTGCATCGGTTTCTGCCCATTGCCTCTTGTCCTATTGCGTGGTACCACAGAGCAGAGCCTGCCTTTATCTTCTTAGCACCTCCCTTTAGGTATTTATACACACATTAAAGAGGTTCGCTCTCAGCTGTGTTTTCCCAAGGCTGAACAGACCCAGCTCCCCCAACCTTTCCCTGTAAGAGATGCTCCAGCCCCCCAGGCATCCCCGTTGACCTCGGCCCACCCCGGCAGCAGTGACTACAGGTCAGCCCATGTCCTCCAGCAGTGACTGCAGGTCAGTCCATGTCCTCCAGCAGTGACTGCAGGTCAGTCCATGTCCTCCAGCAGTGACTACAGGTCAGTCCATGTCCTGCAGCAGTGACTGCAGGTCAGTCGATGTCCTCCAGCAGTGACTACAGGTCAGTCCATGTCCTCCCGCAGTGACTGCAGGTCAGCCCATGTCCAGCAATGACTGCAGGTCAGTCCATGTCCTCCCGCAGTGACTGCAGGTCAGTCCATGTCCTCCCGCAGTGACCACACTCAGTCCATGTTCTGCAGTGACTACAGGTCAGTCCGTGCCCTAAAGCAGTGACTACAGGTCAGTCCATGTCCTCCAGCAGTGACTGCAGGTCAGTCCGTGTCCTCCCGCAGTGACCACACTCAGTCCATGTCCTCCCTCAGTGATTACAGGTCAGTCCATGTCCAGCAGTGACCACACTCAGTCCATGCCCTCTCGCAGTGACCACACTCAGTCCATGTCC